CCCCCCAGCCAGAACAGAGTGGACGGGGCGGGGGATGGGCTCGGAAGGTCTTTTATTTATTTTTGTTTCCTTCTCTCCTCACACTGGACGGTTTCCTGCACTAGGTCTGGATGCTTCTGGAACCCCCTTCACCGTGTTAGAAACTGCTGCCGCCGGGGCCTCTTTCCCCCGGCAGCCGTGTGGAACGAGGCTGAGTTTCCTCAGAGGGGTCGCGGAATCGAGAGGGGGTGGGAAGCAGGTGACAGTTCCCGCAGGGCTGGCCCAACGCCCCCACGGCTGAAGAGCCGCACTGTTTCTGGGCATGCGGCTTGCCTTTCTCAACGGGCTGGGCCCAGCTTTGGCCTTTGCATGGCAGGTTCTCCCTACTGGGCTGTTTGGGGCTGGCCTGCATGGAGCCAGCATGGTGCTTGTTGAGCTGTGGGTGGGGGAACCCACTCGGAGGCACCACATTTACTCCTCTCTGCAGAATGCTGGGGTTGTCAGTGTCTGGTTTTAAATCCCGCTCTTCAGAAAGAGCAAAAGCGTGGGGGAGGGGGGCAGGCCCATGGGGCGGTGTTCCAGTTGTCTGCTGCTCTCCCTTGCCTCTTCCCTCCAGTCAGGGTGCTCGGGTCTCTGGGGCACCTCACACTGGCAGCTGTGCAGGGTGCTCTGTGGCCTCCATGCCACACCTGTGTACATACAGCCAGGTTTTTCTCTTGTGACTAAATAGCCTTAATCAAAGCTGAGGGTCCAAACCATTTGAAGGTCCTGCTGCTACAAGGGGGCTGGAGCCCAAGGGGCTGGATCCCGATGCCTCAAGGAGGGTGGCACCACAAACTGAGGTCCACGCCCACCTCCTTCATAATGCTGACACTGATATACCCCTCCCAACCCCACTAAAGCATCAGAGGCTCCCCCTTAGCACTAGGAAAGGGAGGCTACTATCCCCATCGCTGCTCCTGCATTCGGAGAGGGAGCTGTATAAATTAGCCACTCTCATCCTTGCATCCTCCCTTGCTTTCCTTTCCATATGGCACAGACGCTGCAGGGGCCATCTCTTTCGTGCTCTCGCAGCCACTGCTGGGAGTCTCCTGGACCCTGTGAGAGCACAGGCATTGCACTGAAGGCTGCCTGGGCTGCACTGGTTTTGACGCTTGGCTGAGATTTTTGTGCCTTCTTTGCTTAAAGAAAAACAAAAGCCAACCCACCCCATTGCTGCCCCGTCCTCCCCAGCTCTGTCCACAGACATTGCAAACATCCCCAGCACACCAGGTGCAGGGCTGTCTGGTTTACACACCTTTCACAGGGAGCAGTCTCCTGCTTGGAGGGGGAGAGTGGCTTTCAAAATCCTACGGTGGAAAAACAAAATCCCAACAAATTCTCTCTGCGTGTGCAACAACTCCGTGAGGTTTATAGGGATGCTGTCCCTGGGCAGCCCTGCTTTAGTGTTGGGGAAACTCTTTTGGTGACACCCTTCATGAGACTGTTCACTCCTCTCTTTGTTCTTTCTAATGGTCTAAAATTCAATAAAATTTTATTCATATAAAAAGGGAACATTGTTTTGCTGGCTTCTTTTGTTCGCCCTACTTCTGTTTGCCCTTGTTGAGGAAACTCTCCCCCAAAGGTGACTTGCCTTGGCCACGTGACAATTCTTGCCCCTTATTAGCTCATTAATGGGAACAAACATTTTGGGAAGGTTGTAAAATGGCTTCTGTTCCAACCTCCTATTTTGCTTGCTCATAGCTCTGACACATTCTCCCTTGGGATGTACGTTACCAGGCCTGTGTGCTCCCTTTCTCGGCCCAAAGGTGAGTTTTAATTTCTTGCCGGTCTGAGGGAAATCGCTTTTGTTCTTTCTGAGGAGGGTTGATGGGTGGGAGGCGGGGGAGGGCATTTAAAACGTGTCACACCTTTTTCTCGCATGTATTGCAACACAGCTGAGCTTCATAACTTGAAACATGGCATGTTCATAGTCTTCACTGGAACTGACATGGGTTCTCATTCAGAGACTCCCACTGACTTCAGAGGGTCAGGAAAGAGGGGCAGCTGCCCCACGGCCTGAGATTTAAAAGGGCCAGGGGGCTCGTGGCCACAGCCAGAGCCTTGGGCTCTTTAAAATCACCAATGGAGCCCCAGGCAGTGTAGGCTGGGTAGTGCTGAAGGGCTGGCTGGGGGAGGCTAGTCCCCATTTTTGTCCCTTTTGGGGGCCCAAAGCTGCCCCTCCCACCTTGTCCAGGGGCCAACGATTCTGTTGGCAGCCCTGCAAAGGGCTTTAGATCAGGCCTTAGGTCTGATGTTGGGGGAAAGCCGGTTCAGAAATTAACTAAAGTTCTGATCATGTGAACAGGGCATGGGAAATATTCATTGCTAGCGTGTATGAGGTTTTTGGCTTTCAATAGATGATTATAGTAGCCAACTGGTACCTATTAACTTGCTCAGTTCCTGGCTTAGCTATAGTGATAG